ACTGCACCTCCGATTGGTTTTTAGTGGCCCAATTGTAGAGGATCAGTGTTGGACTCGCACAGGTGTGCTATCTGGGACGTTTCCCTTGATCCGACTGCGACAACTCAACAACAGAGCTCGGAATAAATGTGTTTGAGAGCTCGCACATGAAAACACGCATCACATTTTACTGTAGAAAACGCAGCTGGCCCTATTTTATAATATTAATGCTTCGATCTCTGCGTGTTGACCAAGGATTGTCTTTATAAAAATAAATACACCTTCTAGAATGAAATGCTTACGTAACAGCTTGAGAACCAAACATCTGGGCTCCTGGCAGTGTGGTGATTTCCAGAGTTAAAATCCAACTAAAAAGTGTTACTAAAATAAAATGAACCATGAAAACCATACTGTGCTGCTGATGGAGAGGAAGGAGGCATTGACTCTGCACAGCACACCCTGTTCTGCTGTAAACGCTGCAGTTCCAGGAAACCACATGTGACACTCGATGCATTTCACAGTCAAATCTCATTTTCCGTGAAATATTTTTTGCCGCTAAACAGTTAAATCTTCTCAAAAGTGCTCTGACTCAGTTTTACAGAGAGGTTGTTTCAATGATCAGAATGATGAACACTTTTTGAAAAAAAAATTGTTGGGTGGACAACCCAAGGGTCTCAGCTCACAGAGTCGGTCACCCAAAAATGGTAAGGTGCTTCCATACACTGAGTTGTAAAGGGAATTTAGCAAATTAGAGGGAATTGTTAAATAAAATTGTTGTTCAAGTAAGAATTTTTTTTATTCTAAAATACATATTAGATGCTTGTGAGTCGACCTCTGTGGGAAGAAAGCGCTGACGCTCCTGTTTCAGGAAGTGGAAGTGAGCCAGAGGAGTGGGGAGTGGAACACGGCAGAATTTAGAGTTCCCTGATCTTGTCATGTCTCCTCTGATTGGCTAACAGCAACACGACTCCACCACTGATCAGCGGCAGCTGGTGATTATATTTGTAGGGTGGGCTAACATACATTTATTAAAATGCTGCTGTTTAGAGATTTTTAGCCACACTTCCCGTTAGCCTGTCCTTCCGTTGAAACCAGATCACAGAAAAACTTCGGTTTTGCCGCTTCTCCTTTTGTTAGATTTGAATATCCGTTCGTTTATCTGCTCCAACCTCTTAATTTCTATTTTTTCTTTCAGAGACATCGATGAAAACGTGTGGGACATTTAATAATCCACCTCATTCATTCTAATGAATGAACACGAATATTCATTAGTTTCCCAGTTCACCACTAGATGGGACATTTCATCAGCCTGGATACCCAGCTGATGTATACAAATAAAAAAAAGTAACAAATGGAGCTGAATCAGTGTTTTAATTGTTTTAAAAGGAAAAAAGTCACTTAGGAAATGAGTCCTCAGTCCAACTAAGCAGCAGCATTTGAACAAAGTTGACAAAAACAATTCTTTGAAATACGAGACAACCCTGCTCCTCGGGGAATGCTCTTTGCAGTGAAAGTGCGGAACTCATAACAGCTAAATCTGTTCCTAAAGTTTTGTTTCAGTTTATTTTTAAAACCAGACATTTGCAGTTTGGAGCTAATTCTCAGATGAGATGAAAATCCCTTTGAAAGGCATCAAACCAAGCTTCAGCTTCTTGTGTGTGCATGTTTGCTTGTGTGTGTTTTACTGTTCAGCTGTGACATGCAATTAAGTGAAATCTAATTAAGATATCTGCCAAACGTATTACAGGCCGGAGTCCAGCGTAGATGCCTCTCCCTCTTCTCCTTTTCTGATTAAACCTCTTGTATTCATTAACTTGATGCTGACACGAGATAATGAAGTGAGATACGAGGTGACCTGATATTAGCACGCTGGACGGAGGGGCTGTGAATGATCTCACTTAATGCAGTTTTGATGCAAAGCATCTCAACCTAACTTCAAACGCCATCAAAACCTTTTTCATTCAGCTCAAAAGCTCTGATCTTGAAAATATGCTCCTTATCACTGAAACGCGTTGGTATCAGAGGCCGTCTGTCATGTTCTCATGAATGCTGAACCCCTCACACACACACACACACACACACACACACACACACACACACACACACACACACACACACACACACACACACACCCCAGAGGGAGTTTTTACAGGTGCACGTCAGAGTGTTTTCTCCACCACAACAGCAGCTGAACTCTGAATGACACCACACTTTATGGTTCGTTTATATCATACTGGAGCAGTAAACACTGTACTGGTCATTGCCATTTTCTGCATGGAACAAAGAAGAGACAGATTTTGCAATATGTTTAAATATTATTGTGCCCAGCTTGTGCTATTGGCTGCTTCCAGCTGTGTGGGCTTTTACCCATTTCCCCTTGCATGCCTCCGCCACGGTGTTCCTCTGCAGATACGACGTCTAGCCCATTCCAAGCCCACTAATGTCTTTATTGTCAGGCTTCACGCCTTTTTAAATCATACAGCTGCATTTTATTTAACACAAACAGTGTGTTTCATGCCAGAGGGCTGAAATAAATCCGTCGGTTGTCTGCTGCTGTGTTTCTTTTATCATTAGCGCTAACACAAGGCCAGCCACGCTGTCACTTCTTGATTGTTTATGCGTGTGCTTATTTCATTTTTTTCTACTACATCAATATTCCTCCTGCTTCAGAAATGTCAGAAAGGGAAGAACTAATTTAATTAAATCTTTTAAGCACATCGTGACTCAACTGGTCTTCTTTCAGGTCATGTGCATACTTGTAAGGTTCCAATTTCTTTAGCGCTGAGTAGGAGAAAATACCAGAGGAGTTAGATGCAGGGTGCGGTGTTTTTTTATTGCACGTATTCACCATTATACATGAATTTTTATTGCTTAAAAACCCTATAATGTAATTGGTTATGTACCAAAAGGTATTATGGACATTTACAAAAGAATGCATTGACTTGGAGCAACATGTTCTTTCGCTGATTGTTTTTTTCTTATAATAAAATGCGTCTTCTGCATAGAACATGAAATGCATTCACATCAGCCCTGGACACATGCACAGACTGTTGCATGAGCAATTAACACAGAGTGCCATTAAAAATGTCTCATTAGCTCATTTATTCAAAGCCAGATTTACCACATCTTCATCATCCTGCTACAAACATTCATCACTCTAACTGAATAATGCATTTCTGGCCTGCAGAATGCTGACGAGTGTTCAACAGTTTAACATTGCTGCACTCTTTAACATTTACTCTGAATGTGGATGTTGCTTGTAGTTACACCCAGTAGAAACAGACAGGAATCCCTGGGGGGGATTTTAACACAGACTTCGAGTTTAAAAGTGCATTTTGAGTTTAGATAAAATCAGTAAACTTGCACAAACCACTTAAACCGAGTTGCACAAACATGCAAAGTCTAAAGGTCATTTGAGTAGGAATTTATATACTGTAGACTGCTCTGCACAGAAACACAACAACATCCTAAAAACACACACTTTTGTCCTTTTAGTTTATCTGTTAGGTTTGGTTCTACTAGTCAACTGTGTTTTTCCAAAATGGGAGAAAAGATTAAAAAAAAAAAATTCTTCCTCTTCTTACTATCTAGTGTCCGAGACCACGCCTGTAACTTGGGTTCAAGGGATCAAAGGTTTTGTTTTATGACTCATTAAAGACCTGCTTTCTTCGCCGATCAGACCCACAGATAGCCTGGCAAGCCAGACTAAGTAAATGTATTATTTAAACTTAATTAAATTACTTAACTAAATTATTCACACTTTGCAAAGCAAGAATTTGGTCTAGTTCACTAGGCTAACCCACAGAATCAGCCATGTCTCAGACACACAGCTGTGAGTACATTTATTCTTCTTGCTGACGTGTAATGACTGTTCGAATTAAATCTCCCAGAGCTTAATCTAACATTCTTGTTTTAACACTCTCATTAAAACGTCTTAAAAGATGCTCGTGCTCCAAGTTGGTATTAACTTTAAAATGAGGGGGTGATTTATGTTACTGCACAGCTGAAGTAATTCGATTTGCTTTTTTATTTCATTTGACCTCAAGGAACGGATAGCGCTAACTCAGTGGAAATGTTGAAAGTTGGTCTGCGTGTAAAAGTAAGTTACTGTAAAAGTAATTTACAGTATAGTTACTGTAAAATAACGGTAAAAATGCTGGCGTCTGTAGCTCCCAGTATTCTACTGTTTTTTACATAATTTTTTTCTTAAGAGTGTGCATCAAATAAACAAAAGTTCCACTGCATCAAGTATAAAAACCCTTTCAGCTCACACTGGAGCTCTCCAGCAACTATTAAGTTTAGTTTTATTGCATTTAGAAAATCACTACAAATCACAGCAGCAGCTACAATAAGACATGTTGGCAGTCTCCATAATTCCTCTTCTGACTCCTGCTGAATCAGAGCTGGTAAAAGAATCTGCACAATGTCTCAATGGGTTTTAGTCATTCTTAGTTGTTCCCTGGAAAAGAATCAGCAGGTTCCTGATCCGGTAAAAAGGAAAAGGATCTGCAGGACGGAACAGTGTTGGTGCAGAAGGAAAATTAAAGGCGCAGAATTCACTCTTGGAAAAAGTCATTCAAGCAAGCTTAATTAAAAAAAATAGTAGTAGTAGTAGTAGTAGTAGTAGTAGTAGTAGTAGTAGTAGTAGTAGTGGTAGTAATAATAATAATAATAATAATAATAATAATAATAATAATTATTATTATTATTATTTTGAAGATTCGACCCCGTTCTCCAGCTTCCTCCCAAGAACCACAGAAACTGATGGTTGCAGAATATGGTACAACACCTGCTTGCAACACACACACATTCAAAAGCAGACACACAGCTCCGCTTAGCTGCTTAGGTCAAAATTTTCAGAACCAACTCCAAACCAAACTAAACCTATTACCAAAAATTTCCCACAATTTTGTTTGCAGGATATACACGTGAAACAAAAAATTACAATATGGTGCAAAGAGTAATTTATTTCAGAAGAACATATTAGATGACAAGACCATTTGAAGGCTCATGAATCTTTTGCAGGTATTTTGGATTCATTAGCTTAAGAGAG